TGCTCGAACTTTTACTTCAAAAGTAACACAATTCAAAAAATTAAATTTTTTAGTAAAGGTATTATTTTTTAACTTGAAAATTAATGATTAATCAAATATTATCGACAAAAAATAATATTTTTAACATGATCAAATGTCATTTTAGTTATTTTCTTTTTACAACTCATAAGTAATGATTTTGACAATTTTTTAAACTCTCTTTAGCCTGGTGTGAAGTCATATTAATATATCGATATTTGGATTTAGTCGAATGAGAGAGAAATAAATATTCGACTATAATTAATCAATTCTTACAGACTACGGCATAAATTAACAGATTAAGGCCAGTATAAATCTTTTAATGCTTTTGCAAAAAAAAAATTATTGAAACTACCAAATTTATTATTAATTTGTATTTAAAGGTTGATATTTGTTGATTTCGATGTATAAATTTATTTAGAACCACGAAAAATTCGGGCTAGAAGATTGAATCACTTTTTTCGAATTTGTAATGATTTTGATAATTTTTTAGTTATGTTTTATGATTATATCTTTTACGTTTTACGAGTTGAGTCATTTTAAAAGCAAGAGATATAATACGTTTATATAAAGCCATATGTCCATATGAGATTACTATGGATCCTATTTTTCATAAAAAGACTTACTTTACGGATGTACATATACAGCTTATCCTGCTGTATCCTTCTAAAAGAGTTAGCCAATTTAATAATTTATTTCCATAAAAAAATAAAATACTAAAGCAATTGAAATCGTTAAAGTTCGATTTAGGCTGTTGTACTATTAATGATAATATTATACATATAATAAAAATCCGATGTACAAACTCAGTAACAAGCAAATGAATGAGTGAAGACGTTCAAGAAAATATGTGGAAAGTAAAATAAGAATATTTAAATTTACAGAATATAAAAAATTTATATTTTTTTAAAATAGAAGTATTTCCGATAAGATAGATTAAGTTAATAAATGCAAATCAAATAAAGAATGATGTAAACAGATTGATATAATAATTTGTAATATTTTTATATGCAGAATGTTTTGAAAGTGAAAGTCAATCGCTCGCGTAATTGACCTTCGTTTTTAAAACATCCTGGTGATTAGAAATTATCAATAATTTCATCATCAATAATTCGGAGAAAATTGACTGGATTGATTAAATTGGATTGGTTAAAATAAGATCCTTTATATCTTATAATTATAAGTGTAACAATATGCACAAGTTAAATTTTTAAAGATACATATATATTTTTATGTATATTTTTATTAGTTGCAAAATATTACTATCATCTCTTTATTGAAAGAATAAAAAATCAAGTAGTAAAAAAGTTTTAAGGCCGTAACACAGACTTTTGTATAACGCATAGTGCATAAGCGAATCAATTGATTAGAATCTTTCCTTTACTCTCATTCCATGGAAAAGAAGAATTTCGATTAATTGATTCTCTTATGCACTATGAATTATGCTCTTATGCATTATGCGTTATGTAAGAATTTGCGGTAATTACTCCTTATTAACGAAGTTAGAAAACAATTACAATTTTATTCTTTCATCTTTATATATGTTTTTAAACTTTTGTCTTTATATATAATTTTATATTTTTAATTTATATATTTATTACCGACTAAATAAAAATTTTTTTTCTAATACAAGAAAATCCTATTCTAATTTCTATAAAGTTTGTAAAATACATAAAACAATTTTTAAATAAGAAATATATATTTTTCTCAAATATTTTACTTAAATATTTTTTAAATATTTATTACACAAACGTAGTACTTAAAGACTGAAAGTACATAAAAATTAAAAAAAAATCTCTAGCATATTTTTTATTAATTACAAATACACAATTTATCATAATCTGAAAAACAACAATTTAAAAAATACTTGTATGCGAGTGTGTACTTGCGTGCGTATGTGCGTATGCGCGCGCGCGCGCGCGCGCGCGTGTGTGTGTGTGTGTGTGTGTGTAAAAGGAAATGTTATGTAAAAATTTTCTAATCGCGTAATCATCGTTAGTAAATATCTCCTGCATTAACACCGATATCTCGCGACTTGGATCAAAGTTTGACTTTTAACTTTCATTTAGCATTGGAAAATGTGTGCAAGTTCACATTACATCCGCTAATATCTCCCGTTGCTCGCTTTTCGGAAACATTTTCATTCATGATAAGATACAAATAAGAAAAAAATAAAATAGAAAAAAATAAAAATTTAATGACAGGCTCGTTTTCGTAATCATTGTACTAATAATCTTCAAATGTTAAGCAAAAATTCAACACGTGCAGAAAATGATCTTTCAGAAATCTTCTATGTTTCTATTTATCTAACAAAACGACGAATATATTAAGTGAAACTTATCTGATTAAGTGAACTTATCTGATTAAAAAAAATTTTTATTAAATTTTATATAAATAATGTATATATATATATAT